TTTACTACATATCTAAATTCACTTCACATCACTCGCAGTTTTGCTTTAAGAAAACTTTTATTGGATTAAGTTCGCATTTATTAATATCTCTTCTTTATTAATAATTTAACTAATTTATTGCATCTTTTTGTGTTCAATGAGAAAATTAAAATTAGTGTTTTCTGCTGAGAAAAATCAAGGTTTTTTTTTTTTATACAACTTAGAATGACTAACAAGCTGACGGCCCACCTGATGGAAAGTGGTAACTGTCGCCTATAGACATGAGCAGTACTATGGACATAACAGAGTATACTGTTTCGCCCATGATACCCCCATGCGTTGCCATTCCTGAGGACTCAGGTGTTATTCCTCTGTACCCAATAAATTCACGCTATATCCCACCCTTCAAACCGAAACACAGCCATACAAACACAACTGCTTCACGGTAGAAACACGAATGGGACAGAGGTACCCATGCAATCGACTTTTGTACAAAGTCTTCCTCTGGTATGGTGCCGAAAGAGGCATCTAAGGAAATAAATTTTAATATACTAATAAAAACTTTTAAAACCAAACTTTCTTATAGGGCAGTATTCATGCCCAGTAGTGGGCGTTAAAGAGATATTAAGACGATATTTGTAATAATCTCTCTATAAATTAATCCATACATACATATCCGTCACACCTGTCTCCCATTAGAGGAGTCAGAAACAATGGAACGCTAAATGCTCCAATCCAAACGAATCCTTTCGTTTCCTCCAAATTCTTAATCCGCTATGTATAAAATGTAAAATCGATGTTATTGCTGTGATTTATTATGTGATGATTATTGTGATGAAGCTATTATAAGTTATGTTTTTCTTCACCTAAATATCCATGTCCCGATACACAAGTCTTGTGCTAGTAATTGAGTAAAGATGTATGACAATCCCGCAGCGGATATCGTGTTTAGCATATGAATGGTATATTATTGTTAGTGTACATATCTGTATCTTCATAAATATCTATCCATCCAACGTGGGACGTCACGAGACAATGTGATGTTCGCATATCGATGTTATACCATTAACCTTGTGTTTTATGAAACTCGATGCGCCATTGTTAGACGAACTCTGTAAATTCCTGTCAACCTGGTACTTATTGATTATTGTTGTTGTAGATTGAACTTCCATTCCCATTTCCCAAAGAGGGTTGACGTCAGGCAGGTGGCCGGTCGTAAAACTAAAAACCGAATCTTTTTGTAATATGGACAAAATCATATTACGCCGACCACAAATTATTGGGATAAGGGTAAGAAGATGATGATATCTTTTCATGATGCCTGCATACATGCACAAAGAGAATTGCCTAGAGACCCTGTGGTTAATTAGAAAAGCACCCTATTTAGGTGTCATTTTTAACAGTTGTATGAGACATGTAGAATGTATTGAAGACAAACACGTAAATCTTGTTCCGGCGATATTCGAACAAACACAGCCGCACAGCCGCTACGAGTTGCCTACGATGACTTTTACTTCCATATAGACATAGTAAATATACTTAATGTATGGACAGTTCATTAACATTTAATGGTAATGCACACACCCATCGACAGCATTAGCGTACCGTAACCCGTAACATTCCCCGAATATTGTCATGCTTTATGGCAGGGGCTCCCAAACTTATTTTGTCTACTGCCCACTTTGAGAATAAATTATTTTTTAGGCCCCCCCCCCCCCCCCATTTTTTCACCTACTTAAAAACCACTATTACTTCAAGATCAACAAATCACCCCCGAAGCCTCTACACAACGCCATCATTTTTTTTGAGCCCCCCTTTAGGCCCGCAGCGCCCACAAAGGGGCGCTGTCGCCCACTTTGGGAAAGACTACTTTAGGTATTATTATTTAGGCAAACCAGCCTTACTCTGCATTCTAAATAAACGATATTTATTATTTTATATTGCTTATACTATACTATTGTTTATTTAAAACATTGAAGGAAAACCACACAGTTTCACTACAATTATCTCAGTATTAATGCAACAATTTATAAGTTTATAAATAAATATTCATTGTCCACTGTATCAGTATTATTATTAGTGTTAAATTATAGAGTAAAAATATATTACCAGAGGGAGACTTTGTACAAAAGTCGTTTGCTTGGGTACCTCTGTCCCATTCGTGTTTCTACCGTGAAGCAGTTGTGATTGCATGGCTGTGTTTCGATTTGAAAGGTGGGATATGGCGTGAATTTACAGGATACAGAGGAATAACACCTGAGTCCTCAGGAATGGCAACGCATGGAGGGTATCATAGGCGAAAGAGTATACTCTGTTATGTCTATGGTACTGCTCATATCTATAGGCGACGGTTACCACTTTCCATCAGGTGGGCCGTCAGCTTGTTTGCCATTCTAAGTTGTATAAAAAAAAATGTATCTAAGTTCAGTGTAATATCTGTATGAAATGTTAAGTTCCTCCAGTTGTTTAAACATGATTGAGGAATAAATATCTTAACATATTTACTGTCATATACTTATTACTAAGCAAGATAGTTATAAGGGTTCATTACACGTACTAAAGTAATAAAATTGAGCCCACATAATGCGTGAAATGACATTTTGCGTAATAGATGCGTCATTTTTTATTTGACCCGCGATTAACACTATTTGAGCATTGATACGAAGGCCCGAACGCTAAGGTTTCCGCAAATTTGTCTGTACTATCGTGTAATTAGGCATTTAACTGAGCACACATTGTGTTGAATCACGAATTTGCGATTGAAGTCACTATATTTTTTTTAGTGGAATAAAATCTGCTTTTTTAAATCTTTACTATTCTCTCCAATAGATTACCTAAATTATAAGATGTAAATCACACAAAGAAAATATAGAGCAATATTTATTTACTCTTTATTGCATCATTTAAAAAATAACATATATATATATATAATAAGTACTCTCAAAACTCCCCTATAAGGGAGTTTTGAGAGTACTTGCCACGTTTGGCAACCGGATTAGCAACCACAATTAGGTTAGAGACGCTGCTGTCAATCTCTCGACCATTAAGTTCCCTTAATCACCTCTTACGACAACCACGGGAAAGGAAGGAGTTTCACAGTAGGTAATATTTACCCAACTAAACGATAGATACAACGAATAATTTCAGAGATTGTGACAGTGTAGTGTATACTGTGTAATTACGTAATTTTGCATAATTAGCCAGTGCATCGCTGAACGGGCGTGCCGAGTCATGCGTTGAAGATAATCAGCTAGCCAAAGTACCTACATTTCGATGTAATGATGGCATCATATTGTCATCGATATTTGTAAAGTATTGTTCAGATATCATTAATACAAGCTTTACCCGTTAATACGTTAACAATAATTACAGTATGGGATTCTTTATAAAGGGTATATTAAGGTTTCTCAGGATAGGCAACGCGAACGTGACACCCCTAGTTTTTCAGGCGTCCATAGACTACAGTGACCATTTACCATCCGACGAACTGTGTGCTTGTTTGCCACCTTTTTGGTATAAAAAAATCGATACCACGTTATACTAAGACTTGCTTCTATACTTAAACTTATTACTATAAGACGTATTTCATAATGATAAGGAGCAGTCGTCTCGTCACTAATACATAAAGCGGCCCGTGAACGTGCCTCAGCATTTTATATGCCTGCTTGCTTAACATACACATAACTTTTGCCTGTCTCCCGATGCAAACTTTCATCTACATACTATCATCATAACGACAGTCCTTATGATGAACTAAAAACTTCATTTTGTGATGATGTTTTAAAACCCTAAACATATAAAAAGATATTCGTTCACACTAATCTCCGAAACCGCTCAACTGATTTTAATGAAATTTTATATATATATATATATATATATATATATATATATATATATATATATATATATTTTTATATATATATTTTACAATTATTCAGGTAAATCAATTTTATCCCCTTCAAGTACTCCCCCTGTTACATAATGCACTTGTGCCAACGCCGTTTACACTGTGAGAAGGCTCCTTGAAAGTCCTCTGGTTGTAGGTTTCTCAGCTGCCCCGTCGTAATCTCATTTATGTCCCCCAAATGCCGCCCCCGAAGTACCAATTTGGTTTTTGGGAACAAGAAGAAGTCACACGGGGCCAAATCCGGCGAATAGGGGAGGTTCGGTCACCGTAATGGAATTTTTACTCAAAAACTCACGGACAACAAGAGAGTTGTGGGCAGGGGCATGGTAGTGGAGAAGAATCCAACGCCCCTCTCGAGCCAATTCTGGACGAACTCGTGCAACACGAGCTTTGAGGCGTCTGAGCACATCGACGTAGAATTTTCCATCAACTGTCTGGCCTGGAGGGACGAATTCTTGATGGACAATCCCCCGAAAATCGAAAAAAACAATCAACATTGTCTTGACATTTGAGCGGGATTTTCTTGATTTTTTTGTTCGTGGTTCCCCGGATGTCTTATCGAATTAGATCGGCAAAAATTTCACGGCCATTCTTGCCGAGTATCGAGAGAAACTTGATTACGACGCGCTGCTCTTCAACGGAAGCGGGTGTCCATGCCGACGGGGTTTCGTTAAGAGGTAAATTACAGATGGCGTGACAAGCTTCTGGTTTGTTCACCGCACGGCGGTCAGACCAGAACTAAAGCATTGTTAGGGACATAAAATGAAGGGGTCCTGCGCTTACCTATATACCTCCCCACTCCTCTTCCTCAAATTGCATATATTTCCGGATATATATATATATATATATATATATATATATATATATATATATATATATATATATATATATATATATATATTTAATTCAAGGGGTAGGATAGTTTATAAGACCAAGACCATTTTTTATAGAAGATTATAGGGGACACAATAACATTTGCCAGGCCATTAGTCGGAACATAAATATGAAATAGAGATTGTTACGTCTTGAAATTCGGATCTCGTATATAACAAATTCGTGAATTAAATTCCTTTAAAAAGTTAAAGAAATCTAATAGGAAGTTACTTGTCCACAGTCAATGATCCAGCTAAAAGAACGCAAAGAAATGGACGAAGCATTCAAAAAGGCCCAGAAGCCGTGGGCGAAACTTCTACAAAAGGTGGAACGAACCAGGCTGGAGTACCACACCGCGTGCAAACAAGAGAGGACGGCACAGAACCAGGAGAGAAACGCCAGCGGCGATAGCTCGTTAAGTCCAGACCAGGTCAGTAGCTGTTTTATATTACCTTGTACGATGTATATATGGAACAAACCAGACAACAAATTTGAGATAATTAGATTCCTAAAACTACACATAATTAGAGTAGAAAAATAGCTACAGATTGAAATATTACTATAGAGTGAAATTAAAATCATAAGCATTCTTTATAAGAATAATGGAACGCATTAGAGAAACTGAACATTTTTCCCAAAGAAACTAGCGTAAAAACACGACGAAAAGCTTCTAATATTAGTTTGACAGTTGGATGCACCATGTTAGTGTGAGGGGCACAATTTGTTTATATTTTCGAGGCAGATATGATGTATGTATGTCGTTTTTCGACTCACGGTTCTTTAGAAAATTTCAATGTGTTCATACGGACTCAAAAGGTAAAATCTTTGGTAATATGAATAAAAACGTTACGTCGATCACAAATAATTGGAATATGGACAAGAATATTAATGTGGACTTCCCGTATGCTGCTGTACTTTCTGTGTACAAGATTACTAGTGAGGGTTCATTGGTTTGGATGAAGTAAGGCCAGTGAAGCTATTTTTACGAATTCACTAGGAATTATGTCATAATCACACTCCGCGACTACAGTCATCATTTCTTCTGGTTTGTTCCACACAAGTTTTGCAAGCGTCATTATAAAAATATAATACAAAATTTGAAGACGTAAAATGATTTTTAGTAATATATTTATTATGTATATATACCTCCCATTTCCTCTAATCCTTTCAAATTGCACCTATTCCTTTAATTAATAAAAAAAAGATTAATGAAAGATACTTAACTCTGAATTGAATTCTTATTTAAATATTATTCCGAAAAAATCCTGTAGATTCTTTTATAAAATCATGGAAGCGAGAGAGAATTTATGCTATAAGGTATTTTTCATTTTTATTATTTCGATGAAAATTGATAGAAACAATGCGAAGTAAAAGAGAAGGTGGTCGATTAGTTACATTCTCATTTATCATACTTATTATTTGACTAGCTATTACCCGCGATTTTTTCCACGTGACCATATTATATCTTATATGTTCATTGACCTGAATAAAAAGTATTCTATGTCCTTCTCCACCTCGTTATATAGTTTTTTTTTTTTTTATACAACTTAGAATGGCAAACAAGCTGACGGCCTACCTGATGAAAAGTGGTAACCGTCGCCTATATACATGAGCAGTACCATGGACATAACGGAGTATACTGTTTCGCCCATGATACCCCCCATGCGTTGCCATTCCTGAGGACTCAGGTGTTATTCCTCTGTACCCAGTAAATTCACGCCTTATCCCACCCTTCAAACCGAAACACAGCCATGCAAACACAATTACTTTACGTTTGAAACACGAATGGGACAGACGTACCCAAGCAAACAACTTTTGTACAAAGTATCCCTCTGGTAAAAAATAGTACGTGTATATTAGTTTTTTTAACGATTAGTTTAGACATTAAGGTGCCAATAGGTAACAAATCAGCAAACTCACTTATATTATTTCTAGATTTCGTCACAAAAATCTTTTGCGCGTTTATTTACAATTTTATTCAATAACACTTATAAATCTTTACTGTATTCATTTATCTGATTTTCTGTTTATCTTTCTTGGATTATAACTATATTGGAGTCCCGACCCCTGAGATCTATTGATACAATTAAAGTCTAACAAGTTTCATTGTACTACGAGTTGTTGGATCAAGTTGATACATAAGTTATGCGGAGCAGAGGCAACTTTTACTGTACAAACAGATAAATATTTCAACAGCTTTATATAATTGGAAATATTAACTTTTAGACTTTAGCGAAAAATATAAAAAAAAAAAAAACTTCTAAATATTGTATAATATTTTATCGTCTCATATTTTTTTTTTAATAGAATGGTAACCCCACCTGCGCTATTGGTATACACTGGCAGGGCACCAGTGAGTGATGATAGATGAGGATGAAAGCAGGTCAGTTAGCCCATCGTGACGAATTCCACTAGAACGATGGTTTCCAGGGGGAACCGTGAAGCGTGGAGGTCGACCTGATAGGGTATATTACTAGCAATGGATTCATTAGACCCCATTCCTAACAATCCCTTCCCCCCGTCTCATATATTATATAATAAAATTCAAACTGATTTATAGTTAATATTTAATTACTTTTTTTACAATCAGTATGATATAACGATTGATCCTATATTGTAACAATTGGACCGCAAGAAGCCCATTCGTGTTTCAACCGTGAAGCAGTTGTGTTTGCATGCCTGTGTTTCGGTTTGAAGGGTGGGATATGGCGTGAATTTACTGGGTACAGAGGAATAACACCTGAGTCCTCAGGAATGGCAACGCATGGGGGGTATCATGGGCGAGACAGTACACTCTGTTTATCCATAGTACTACTCATGTCTATAGGCGACGGTTACCACTTTCCATCAGGTGGACCGTCAGCTTGTTTGCCATTCTAAGTTATAAGGTATAAAAAAAAGCATCCTCGGAGTGGTAGAAATTTCCTTAACTTAATATTGTGACGGCGTTTACTCTAGTAATTCGTTATATTATTGTTTCCGAAGATGAAATATCAAACATTCTGTGTTGCCGGTAAAATTAATTGCCCTCAGTTGACGTGGTTGTTTCTGTTTGATATCTGGGTCGTTTGATTCCGCTTACTGCTCACATATTTATGAGTCACCCCCTACGGTACCATCTATAACAAATACTACATATCAGAAACTTGTTATTAAGCTAAATATTTAATATGTAACTACATACTTAGTGTAAAGAAAATATAGGCCATTGAATTTGATTGTGATTGAGTCATACATGATATAGTTTTCTTTGTCATACATTTTTGTGTCGCGACCTTGAATTTCTTAGTTTGTAAAATGAATATTTGGCAAAAATAAGCATATATTAAGCGACTTAAAAAAAGTGGAGTTAATATTTTTATTTGTGATGTTGGTTTTACCGAAATTTGTGTAAATGTATGTAACATTTTCTATAAACGATTACATTGAATTTATAAACACATATTACATACTTTGTTATTTATGTGTACATACTAGTTTAATCATAGATAATTATTTATAATTAGTACGTATTAAATGTACTTTTACCACCAATATTTACCACCTTTGCATCACGAAATTACTAATTATCGACTTGTCTCGTGTAATATTTAATTAAATCTCTAGTTTATACAATAAATATAAAATAATAATAATAAATCTAAATGTAACATCCTTATTTAATAATAATATCACATTAAATATAAAATAAAATTTATTGTTTACAATTACAATAAATACAAGTTAGTTAATCAAATAAATTAGAACATCGTGAAAACGTTATTAAAATGGCTGAAATTAATTGCGAATTGTATTTGAAACGACGGAAACAACTCCTTCCTTGCAACTCCAACAGTGAAACTTATCGAAACTTAAAACGAAGTAATGTTCTGATTTATCGAGTAAATATTTTTTTTGACATTGAAAAATTGTGTACTTTGTTTTAATATTGAGATAAGTATATATTCGTACATATATGTTGAATACTTTGATAATATGAGATAAGATACGTCTTAAGGTAACGCCATAAACGTAATATATTATTAATACATTATACATGCATCGTCGTACAGCCACCATAATGTTTTGGCAGTCTTAATAAGTGAATGTTTTTTCCTTGCGTTTTCCCACACACTTCCCTTCACGTATTACCACACTTTTTCACCGACTCGCAACTTTAAATTCTTCATTATAAGAGTTCCTAATTTTCCTACTTAAAAAGTCGGCAACACATCTGCAATTTCTAAAGTATTGCGGGTAAACAATCAAGTGAACCACATGCTCGTTTGCTCAGTCTTATAAAAACACATTATTGTTTTTATATCACGAAGGTGTCAAATAAGCATATAGCTCGTTTGATAGTTATTGGTCAGTGTAGCTTATAGACGCCTGCGACACTAAGAGTGTCACGTTCGCACTACTGTCTGTGAAAAAAAGTTAATACACCTTTTTTGAAAACCCCCATATTGTAGTGTTTAAAGAAAATATTCGAAAAATATATCAAAATATACAGTTACAGTAGTAAAATACATTAATGATATAGAAACATGAATTTTGCATACAATAACACTAATTATTTGGTTCTTTTGCTTAAATATTGTGTGTTATTAAAAACTTGGAAAATACCGTGGGGGGATACAAAGAGAAATATCATAATCCAAGCCACTGATCTGCAGAAAAATAGGTAAAAAAACTGTTCCTAAATTAAATTCTGTACGACATCAATTGACCTAACACAGTTTCCATGATTGTGACATGTAAATAGATAATTATGAGTCGCTCGATATTACTCGCACTGTCTACAAACGGGGACGACTGGTCAAAGACCGCCTTCGCAGAATCGATACAAGAACAAAGTACTTCTTTGTTGCAGACTTGTGATAGCTAGCGGGGTCGTCGTTTGTTCTTATTCCGTTAAACATCAACTTTACATGTATAGTCATTGTCGTCATCATATCAGCCGTTAACTCTTCACTGCTGAACGTAAGCCCCCTTCTTGGACGGTTTTACCAATAGTTGCTATGCTTGGTAGACGGAATGGAAGTTGGCGAGTGGGAAACCGCTGTTAGGCTATAGTGATGTTTTAAGAGGGACGCTGTTGGCCATCCCTCGGTCATAAAATTCCCTTAATCGCCTTTTACGACACCCACGAGAATTTATTTTATATGTATAGACATAATTGTAACAAATAACAGAGTGACTTTAGATATAATTAAATTAGGATACAAAACGAACACACATCGAATAGGCTTCAAATCAACGTCGACCTTAAGGTAGAGAGGAGTGGTTGCTCTAGGTTCCAAATAGTAAGGAGTGCCAAAAAGCCGAATGCTAACAATTTACCGGACAAAGTCAAATTTTGATGGCACCTTTTGAGAAGCACAGGAGCAGTGTTGCTCAAAAACCGAAGTAAAATTTACGTGAAATGAAAACAAAGGCTTACAGCACAAA